TGACTGCCCTGGATTTGGCCTAAACCAGGCCTGGCAGGAGGAGGAGGGGGAAGGTGTAGAACCTGACCACTGTTCTATCCAGATGCACGCCTCACAGGTTGTGCAGCAAACTAAGTCCCCACTATCACCAGAGCACGGCCTGCCCCTGCTTACATATCAGAAGGCTGCTCAGCTTCCTGTCTGAGGCTAGGGAGCCAAGAGAAACAGGTGCGCCAAGGCCACTTCAGGGAAGAGCTGAAGGAAGTCTGTTCTGTGGAGGGCAGGGAGGTGGGGTGGGGTGGGAAGTGCTGGGAGAACTGGGAAGAAATGAAGTGGAGCCAGGGGGGAGGCTTATGGTAAATCGCAAAAAGGTTTTAAAGTAAAGAAGTAATGTGGCCCACCTTAATTTCTAGAATGCTCTACAAGATGCACAATGAACAAAAGACCAGTTGGATATCTGATAAGGGACCAGGTGGAGTGAGGCCAGAAAAGAAAATGAGGTGGGACCTGGAAGTGTGGGCAGGGCCTGACTTGTGACCCAGTTGCTCTGACAGAGGGTCCCCAGGGTGAAGGAGGATCCTGAGTCCCTGGTTGTCCTGAGCAGCTTGGCACAGAGCAGGAGCAGGAGCAACTTGCAGAGTGATGTGACAAGTTAGGGGTTTCCTTTATTTCCTGCAAAGTTGAAATCTCCAGTAGACGCTTGGATGGGTGGACTGAGATGAGAAAGACTTGGAATCTTTAGTGGAGCAGTGAAGACATCAACAAAATGACTTGATTTCTGAGGGATGGGAGTCATGCATGGGGTCCAAAGTGAGAAAGGCCCAGAATACACCCCCAAGGAATGCCAGGGATTCCAAGGTGGGTTTGAAAGGCTGGGAACAATTAAGGCAAGAGGAAAGCCAGATGGGTAGAATATAAAGGAAAACAAAGGTCTAAGAGGGGTTCAAAGCTAGGACTTAGAATGCCTTCATTTTCTCTAACCCTCAAAACTCCAGATCAGCTGGCTGAGCAAGAGAGAATAGAAGTGGCAGTGTGGCTGGGAGACAGACGCTCCGAAGCTAGCCCTAGAGAGATGAAAAGGAACAAGCTACTCATAAAATTACTCAAAGTGTTTGTCTCTGAATTTCTGGCTGCTGTTTTCTAAACCTCATTTTCCCTGATCTCTCTGACCTCAAAACGAGACTGAAAACTGATGAAGTGCAAAGACAAAAATATATACACTGGTTGCAGTGCTCCCAATATTAGCCCAATCTGTAGGACCCAGCTAAGCCCGGAGTATAGATTTGGTTGGGACTGGAGCGTTGGAAAGAGCTAGCAACACAAAAGCCTGAAAATTGCCTGCTTCTGCTGGAAGACGAGCGACAGGTCGCCTGTGAAGCAAAGCTGTGCGCTTGGGTCTCCTTCTGGCACCCAGGAGACAGGCGCATTTCCCCTGCCTTGGACAGTGTGGTCTGCAGATTGGCAGTCGGCAGAAGTCAAGTGTCGATGGGCCAGGTGCCAGGCTTCGGAGGGCAGCCCCGGGCAGGAGGCACGCGGGTGGGTCTGAAGGACGGGTAAGCCTTGCCGTCTGCGCGCCAACGAGACGCGGGCAGGGCACTGGGGACGATCGGCCCGGCGCCAGGCACAGGGTGACCGCCACGAAGCACGTCTCAGTGAGCTCCGGTGGCTCACGCCTGGAATCCCAGCTACTCGGGAGGCTGAGATCTGAGGATCGCGGGCGGTTCAAAGCCAGGCCGGGCAGGAGAGTCCGTGCCCCTCATCTCCAATTAAGCACCAGAGAAAGCTGGAGGTGGAGCCGTGGCTCAAGCGGTAGAGCGCCAGCCTTGAAGACTGGGGACAGCGCCCAGATCCTGACTCCAAGCGCCAGGCTCAGCCCGTCTCAGCGCGGAGCTGTCCGCGACTTCCGGCCGGAGGAACTGCGTGCCGGATGCGGCTGTCGGCGCCTGCGCGCTGGGGCCCGCCGGCGCCCGGAGGAATGTACCAACCAGCGCGGACGGGGGTGTGTGCGGAGACCTCCGCCAGGGGCCGGTCCTGGCGCGCCTCGGAGACCCCCCGCCTCTGACAGCCCGTTGGCGCGACCTGGGACCGCAGCCAGCAGCTCGCGGACTCGGCGGCCGTGGGTGGTGATCGCGGGGCGCGCGCCGCCGGTTGCTGCGGCCTGGATCCGGGCCTCGCTCGCTCGGTCCCGCGGAGCTTCGGGTGCGGTCTCGGCGGGTGCTCGGCCCCAACCCAGGCCCCCCGCGCGGCCTAAGGTAAGCCACGCGTCGCGGGGCCCGCCGGCCGGCGCGGGGGGGGGGGCGTGGGAGGCGGCCCGGGTCCGCCGGCCGGCGCGGGGGGGGGGGGGTGGGGGGCGGCCCGGGTCTGCCGGCCGGCGCGGGGGGGGGGGGGGGCCCTCGGTCCGCCGGCCTTTCTCTTCCCAGCGCCCCGCACACCCGGGAGGCCGGAGTCTCCTCGGGCAGGCAGCCCGCAGCCCTCCCTCCCCGTGCGCCGGGAACTCGGCACGAGCCGTTGCCGACAGGGCCCTGCGCGGGCTGCCCTCAGCCCCTCGCCGTGGGGCCCGGGGCGCGCGGCGCGAGGCCCGGGCGCTCGCCGCTTCCGCTCTCGCGAGCCCTCACCGTGCCCTCCCAGCGAAGGGCCGGGGTCCGGCCGGCCGCCCCGCGTGAGGTGTGCAGATGGGGGAGGAATGAGGCTGGGGGCGGGGGGGGGGGCGGACCGCCTGGCAGACCGAGGACGGGGCAAAGGTCCGGGGGGATTATTTAATGTCCCGGGTGCGCCAGACGAGAGCGTGGCCGCTGCCCTTCCCCGCGCGCGAGTGGGAAGGAAAGTCGTCGTTCCTGTGCGAAGACTGCTGCCTGTTCACGCAGAACTGCGTGGTTTCTGCTGGAGAACTGCCGGCGGAAACGGCCTCCGTTTTCTCCCCAGCCCAGGTGAAGGACTTGCTTGCTACCAGACCCATCCATCCTTCTCTCTAAGAAAAAAATAATAATCGCGGGCCCGTGGCTCACGCCTGCACTCCTAGCTACTCAGGAGTCTGAGATCTGAGGATCACCGTTGCAGAAGAGTCTCGATTAATGAGCAGAAAAGCCAGAAGTGGAGCTGTGGCTCAAGTGGTAGAGTGCCAACTTTGAGTGAAAGAAGCTAAAGGCCAGTGCTCAGGCCCTGACCTGACCTCAAGCCCCAGCACTGGCACCAAAGGGAAAAAAGAAGGAAGAAAAACAAGATTTCTTCCTGACTCCAAGGCTACGCCCCCAAACACTTGCCCCACCTTACCTGTCTTCCTGTGGCATGCACCTGGTAACATTTAGGGACACATCCAAGCTTTTCTCTTTCCCTCTCTTCACCAGAGAGTCATCAAGAGGAAAATCGAATTTTGAGCGGGCAGGAGACTGAATTGAACTTGTACAGACTTTTTTTCTTGGTATTATTTCCTAAGCACTGCAATGTAGTAACTAATTCACAAAGCATTTGCATTGTAGTAGATACTATGGAAATACAGATACTGGATATTACAGAGATATTGTACACATGACTTAAAGTGTAAGGGAAGGTGTGCTTGGTTTATATAAGGGACTTGTTTACCCGTAGAGTTTGGTGTCTAGGGGAGTCCTGGATCCCTTCCCCCGTAGATACTGTTGCAGCTCTACTTGCTTCTCCCTCCCCGTCACTATACTACACAGGTGCTATCATTCTCATCCACTAATTCTGCTGACCACACTTCCGAAAAGTCTCTCCCCTTGGTTTCTCTAGCCTTGGCTTCCCCAAAAGAAAATTAGTGTCTTCTCTAGTTTTTCTGTGTTTCTTCCCTTTGCTTCTCTGTCATCTTTGACATCTGCTCATCCTCTGTTCTCTCATACTTGCAGCACTTCCTGGGTAGCTACCCTCCACTCCTGGTGCATCTGCTTATTTTCTGTAGAAACATGCCTAAAGGCTTGTTCCTTGGGATTCTTCAAGAACCTCAAGCTCAGTATATCCAGATAGACCTGTGAAAGATAATAGGATCACCAGGAAATTGTGCTCTACCCTTCTTCCACATCCCAATTCAGTATATTCTACCCCTGGATGGCTCTTCAGTGGCCTCCTCTCCCACCTTGATCTGCTCCAACCCTGCTTTACCTCCTGCTTCCTTCCAAGTGATTCTTCTGGCTACCTTGTCTGGAGTTGCTTTCCAGTCTGCTTCTCATGTGACCACCACAGGCTCTGCACCAAGGCTCCTCAGCCTAGAAAGACTTATATACTGGCTTGTGCTTACAGTCCCCTGTGTTTGTTACCCACGGTGACATGCCATATCAAAATACTTGTGGATGATTTTCTTTTTAAGATTTCCATGTTAGATTCATTTAGATTTGAGGTTGCCCCTAACAACATCAGCCCACTGTCCTGATGTGCTCCAGTGGGAAAGAATGGGGTGATGTTACTATTGTACCAGTGATTCCTATCCAAGATCCCCCAATCATGCTGTCAGGAATTAATGATCCTAAAGCTAAGTAGACAACTCTTTACAGGATATAAGCTGCTCATTGTAGAAGACTCAGTCTATCTTTAAGTCAAGTGAGATGTCTTGTGGGAAGCCTCCATGTGCTACAGCTTATTCCTCAATTACAAGTTGTTTTCCCCTTTGTGGTGCAGAAGATTAAACCCCTAGCCTTGTGCTTGCTAGGCAAGAGGTGTACCACTGAACTACATCTCCAGCTCTTCATTTCCAAGTTTTCTCAGCCTGAGCCCCAAGTACCAACCAGAGGGTACAGCACTGGCCTAGAGGAGATGTTTTATGGATCCATGTTAAACAACTGAATGTATCCCAGTATCTGTAGAGTTTAGAGCCCTGGTAAGATTAGGTAATTAAGAAACAGAACAGGATTGGTGCCTGAGATAAGTGAATATGTCTTGAGACGAAGGATCGAGGGTTTGCTCAGGCTGCAGCTCCAGCTACAGGCTTTTCCCTTTTCTTTACTATTGTTGATGCCATGTTCTATACCTTGGTCTTTCTTTAATTTTTTGTCCTTTGTCTTCATTGCTAGTGATACAGCCTGGGGTGCCTGGAGGCTTCTGCTTCTGGAAGCTTGGACTGACAGTCTGGCTTGCAGTCTCTTCAGTCGTGAAATAAAAGCTGAGGTAAGTCCTTGCGGGTCTGCCATCTGGAGCAGTTCTTTTCAGTCTAGAACAGTGTCTTACATTTGATTCTGCTTTCTCCAGCTCTTCCACTGTCACCTCATGTGACATCGTGTCATTCATTTGATGTCTTGGTGGCTGGCTGAGTTCCAGCAATAGCTGCTTGCTCTTAGCCCTCTAAGATTCTTGTGATTGGAAGGAGCTTCTTCCCAGCAGCCTTAGAGCTACCTCTGCAGCTTGTCACCTGTTAGAAGCAGCACTGCCATCTCATGATGCACAATATGTGGCTCAGGTGGTAGAGTGCCAACCATGAGTTAAGCAAGCTGAGCAAGAGCACAAGGCCCTGAGTGTGAGCCACAGTACCTGTACAGAAAGAAGAAAAGGAAAGGGAAGAAGAGAGGGAGGGGAATTTCTAGGTACTTGATCTTAGTCTCCCTCTATAATTTTACCTGGTTGTGGTGTGCGGAGATGTCGCCTCCATCGCGAGGATACACATCTTGGCTCAGTGAACACTTCTTTCTTTATCATTTTCTTCCTTTTTCCTGTGTGTCTTCTATTCATAACCCTGCACATGATCTGATGTCTAGAGAAGTGAATGAGGGGAATGGTGTTGAGGATCCCATCTAGGTTTGGTATTGGAGCATCTGAGTGGCTGGGTGTCTGATTTGCCAAGGTCAAGTTGAACGCAGGAAGGGCAGGCAAGGAAGGCTGACTAAAGAGTCGTGAGCCTGGGAGAGAACTGACAGTGGAGGAATGCAGAGCAGCCTGGAGATTGTGCAGTGAGCTTAGAGGGCCCATCGAGGCAGCCCAGGGACCATCATTCACAGATACTCAGCGGAGGAGGGCACCAGAAAAGAGACCAAGCAGGAGTCAAAGGTGTGAGGTAAACCAAGAAAATGTGCTCTAGGGCCCAGGGAAGGAACATTCTAAGGCAGGGAAACAGCCTGGGGTTTCTCAGTGTGTTACAGAGAAGCCCATTGTGTTAGTGGCAAGGTGGACCCCAGGCCAGTGTAAGAGCCAGGGAGGAGTAAGTTTTAGTTGTTGTTTTGCTCTGGCATTAGCTCTTTGTGCTCAGGGCTAGCACTCTACCACTTGAGCAACAGCTCCACTTCCAGCTCCTGCAGACTAGTTGGAGATGAGAATCTGATGGATTTTTCTACCCAAGTTGAGTTTGAACTGTGATCCTCAGATCCCAGCCTTCTAATTACTTAGGATTACAGGCATGAGCTACCAGGGCCCAGCCAAGGAGTGAGTTTTGAAAGGAAAAGAGAGGAGGTTTGTCTGTGGCAGAGAAAGGAACATGAAAGGAGCTTGAAGTCATTGATGTTGGGGAGCTGTCCCAATAGGTTGTTTGCAGGAGACTGGCTTTTATACAGGACATTTCAGGAAGAATGAGCAAAACCTCTGGCTTAGTATGGTATAGGCTGCTTTATTTACAAATACTGAGCTGCATTTCACTGTATGATGCCTTCCCGGTGCTCAGGACACAGAGACTAAGAGCTCCTCCCTCTCCTGACCAGCACCCAAACTGGAAAGGCTAGCTGCTCCCCCAGAAGCTTCTGAGGCTTCTCCCTTGGCGAGATCCACCTCCTCCCTGACGGGGTCCTTTGTGCCCTCAGCATGGCTGTAGTTCTGTGTGTTGTGAGTGAACACAGGGGTCTTGCCCTCTTCTATGTCCATGACACAAGAAAGATCGAGTACTTCTTGCATTTTCAAACACTGAAGGAAGAAAGTCAGAGATCAGACAGTGTGGTGAAGAAGGACCCAGAAATCACAAATATGTAGAGGTCTGGCTGAGGGCTCAGGGGTGAAGGTCGCCCCTTTCCAAGGGGGCTGTCAAATGGGGGCTTTTGTTCTGGGGCTGATCTCTCACCACCTTGCTCCGTCTTGCTGCTTCTCCCCTGTTCTCTCCTGTCTGGCCTTTCCCCAGAGTTAAGTGACTGAGAGCCGTTCTTTTTATCTTGCCTTGCAGCCCAGGTCCATCTTCTCATTTCCCCAAGTTTCCAAGCATGTTGGAAATGGAAAAAGTCAAAAAGACCCCCAAGAAACAGCCACCCTCAGAATCAGTTGGGCAAGAGCTCTGTGTGCATGCCACCTCCCCTGTGACTAGACCTAAGAGCCCAGCTGCTACCCCAGCTTGTCCCCGTTCTGACAGCAACACCAAAGCTACCAACACTCCCTGTCGGATGGGTCAGGCTGCTGGGGAGGGCCTGCTGGATACTGGGGTCAAACTTGAGCTTGTGGACCTAGAGGAAAAGGCTGATGGTTGCCACGGGAGGAAAATTAGACCCTTTGGCTCTCAAAAGAAGCAAGAAAAGGACTTAACCCTGCAGAGGAGCAGCCCCTACCCCCTGCCTAGGGAGCTAGTGGTCTCTTTGCCTGACCTGAACCAAATTTCCTTGGAGAAACAGGCAGACAGTGCCCTTGACTTGCATGCCCACAGCAGGAAGAGAAAATCCCACTCTCTGAGCAGGCCTGTCACCTTCCATACAAAGTGTCCAAACAGCCCTGGGCAGAGTAAGCTGAAAGGAGACTCCGGAACCCATGGCCACAGACTGGTGCCTAGGCAGGAACACCCTGTGCGACCTGAGAGGAGAACAGCATCCAGGCGCAAGGCATGTGGGAGGAGAGGAGGAGAGGAGGCAGGAAAGATGACGACCACTGGCCCTGCCCCATCTACCTCAGCTCAGGGCCAGCCCAGTCCCCAGGCCCCCCAGGTGGTTAGAAGGGACAGACTGGACAGGTTAGAGCTGAGCCAGTGCAGGGAGCAAGAGGAGACGAGGCGAGCTGACACTCTCACGAACCATCTAGTTGCAGACCTACAGCACCTGAAGAAATGGAAGAAAAAGCACTTGCTTCCTGGCAGGAAGGAGAAGGCGGGGGCGGAGCTGAGCCTCCAGGAGTCTCCCTGCGTGGAGAGGCGTATCCAAGCTGTAAAAGCAGGGACCCAGGGCTTAGATTCTATTCCACCTTCCCCGGGCCCTCTGCACACCATGGATCCCAAGCCCAACCTAGACATCAGACAGTTCTTCACTGTCGATCTGAAGAAATCCTGCCGTATCCTCTGTATCCTGTGTCACTCTGGTGTCAGAAGGGGTAAAACCATGGGGTGGTCCCGAGTCTCGGGCCTCATCCGCCACTTGGCCAGTAAGCATGGACTGGAGTGGGAAAGAAGGCCAGCCACAGGGGTGAGTGGGGCAGAGCAGGCCCAGCTGATGGCCTTGCCCACTGGGACCACCGTATTTGTTCCAAGGAGGCACTTGGACATTGTATCTTCAGAAGGCAGTGACAGGGAACCCGCGCTGGGTGGCGGTGAGCAGCTGCTCCCACTCCCAGCCCCCTCACACCTGCCTGCTTCCTTTGAAGCTGTCAGAGACAACCAGAGTGGCTCACATGCTTCCACTCGGCTGTGCACACCAGCCTGGAACCACAGCATCACGGAGCTGCTCTGTAGCCTGGCCCTGCCGCTCTCCTTTGTTTCCTCCCAGCCCTTCAAAAGGTTCCTGTCCCAGGTGGACCCAAGCTACCGCCTGCCCTCGCCAGGCTTCTTCTCTGACAAGGCCCTACCCCTGCTCCATGAAGCCATGCGAGAGCAGGTGTTGCAGGAGATGCAGTGGGCTGAGGGCGGCCATGTTCACTTCACCTCCTTCATGTCAGCCCAGGACTCAGTGGTCACCTACGTGGCCATCACTGCCCACTGGGTGTCGGCCTGGTCCCCCAGCAGGCTTGTAACACCAGGGGGCATGAGGAAGCAAGCTGTGCTGTGGGTCCGAGGCCTGCCCGGGGAACCAGTCGGTGAGGACCGGCAGCGGGAGCTGCTGGAGCAGATCAGCCTGTGGCTGGGCCGAGGCTCCTTGAAGGCTGGTTTTCTTGTGTCAGGTGGCTGGCCCAGCCTGGAGCAGATGGTGAGAACCGAAGGTTTTATCCACATACCTTGTTTCGCCCACTGCCTTGACTCCCTGGTGAACAACTTTCTGTGTCACCATAACAGTGTCCAGATCATCCTGGGAACAGCCAGGGCCATCTTCAGCCATTTCCAAGGCTCCCCAGAGGCTCGGCGGCTCCTTGGCCAACTCCAGCAACAGTTCAACCTCCCACTGCAGCAGCAGCCCTTTGAGGAGCTGTCAGACCACTGGGTCTCGGCGTACCGCTTGATGGAGTGGATCATAGAGCAGAAGCAGGCCCTGCAGGCGTATGCAGAGAAGCAGCAGTCAGGCAAAGCCAGCACCACCCTGTCTACCATGTTTTGGAGCCTGACAGACAGCCTTGTTAAGCTCTTGCAGCCCTTCCAGATGGTGTTACGTGAGGCCAGCACAGCGCAGGCTTCCCTAAGCCAGGTGCTGCCCCAGCTGCGCTATCTCCACATCTTCCTGGAGCAGGTCCACAGACACTTCACGGAGCAAAGCGGCGGGGAGGCGGCTATGGCCCTGCGGCTAGCCGAGGGCCTGGCCCTGCAGCTCTCCACACATGCTCAGCTCAACGAGCTCTTCCATCGGGAGGAGTTTGTGCTGGCCACCTTGCTGGACCCCCGCTTCAAGGGCAAGGTCGAGGCCATCCTGCCCGCAGGGGCTGACATCGACCACTGGAAGCAAGTCCTCGTGTACAAGGTGAAGGAGCTCATGGTATTGGAGGGTCCCTTGCCTGCCTTGGGCAGACTGAAGAGTCCCAAGGGCTTACGTGTGGGCAAGGTAGCCCGGAGCCTTGGGGTGAAAGGGAGAGGCCACAGAGAGTCCGTGCAGGGCGTTGGCGACTCCAGCTCTTTCCTGCTGGTGCAGAGGGAGAAGAGCCTGCTGGAGCAGCTGGAAAGCGTGGGGCTGTTGGCTTCTGAGAGGAACGGAGCCTCCCTCTCCACCGAGAACCACCTGGCTAGTGTCATCGTCAGGAAGTACCTGCGGGAGAACCAGACCATCGGGGCCCAGCAGGACCCACTGGCCTACTGGGAGAAGAAGTGTGAGACCTGGCCGGCCCTGGCGCACCTGGCCACCCTCTACCTGTCCTGCCCACCCACAGGGGCCTTCTCTGAAAGGGTGCTGGCCTCCCTGAGCAGCCCCACAGTCTCAGAACCAAACCCACCTCTCAGGGTGGAGACCATCGAGCACCTCCTCTTCCTGAAGACCAACCTGGAAAGCTTCCCCCACTACACTCCACCGCCCCTCACCTCCAGTCCTGGCCTTGCCAACAGGGAGCAGACCCTGTAGCCTAACTGCCTGGCCTCGTGGGCACTCAGACGTACACATAAATACCTCAGAGCTTACAGGGGCACCCAGTCTGCTGCCCTCAGAACCTTCCAGCCCCTCAGCAGATGGGGGAGAGGTGCTGGGAGCTGTGTCCTGATCATTAGTCTCCCACCTGTTTGGTGAGAATGATTCTTGATAGATCACTCATTTTTGAGTGAAGTCATTTTCCATTCCCTCTGGTAGATCCATTTGTATCTGTCGGCATGCAGTGAGTTCAAGCATGTAGTTTTATAAGGCACAGCACTTTGTTGGAATATTCTGGGCATTCAGGGCCTTGAATACTGTTTGCCCATGTGGACACGTGGCTGTAGGCCTTCCTAAAATGCAGCCAGGGACAGAGAAGCCATGCTGTTGAAGGGGTCTTGGCTTAGTCCCCAAGAGCATGCATGGGCTTCTGCAGAAACCCTGGATCCAGTAGCCATCTTGGGAGGGATGTGTACACACAAAGTCTTGGGAATGCTAGTGTGGCCAGGAGCAATCCTGATGAATGAAACTGACTAGCGAGCCCATCTTAACCACTGGGTGGCTGGGTCTTCTACTGCCAATAACCCCCCCGCCCCACCCCACCCTCCCGCCCCTTCCTGGCTACTTTTGTAGGGCAGGTCCCTTATTTGGAATAGAAGTGTGTAGTGCCTACTGGAACAAATTGCCCAGAATTCCTGTAGGATTGTTTTCAAGACCTGAATGTGAATGCTGGGATTCAGGAAGGAGTGGGGCTGGACAGAAGGGAATGCAGGGGCCAGGAGTATTTGGGGGCAGCCCTGAGGATGCCTGGTTCCTGAGCACGGTGGCAGCTAGCATGGACTGGGAGATGGAGCGTGCATACTTGAAGCGAACAAGCCGTCCTCTCCCCGGACTGGCACCTCTGACCTGCTGTGTATTTCTACTATGGTAGTAAAAAACTGGGAACTGGATGAAAGTACAAGGAAGGACAGAGTAACTGATGCTATCGAGACGGCCTCTCAGTGCGTTGACATTGGTCCTGAAGACCATACTCTATTTAGTAGGCAGTCTTAGCAATAAACAGTGGCATTTTGTAAACAACAGTGTGTGAGTGTATTCAGTGGGGAGAGTGGTAGGATTTGAATGCTGCTTGGAGCTTCTTCTTCACTAGGGGCTGGGAGTGGATGGGGGATGGTAGGGATATGCTCTCAAGCTCCCCCAGAAGGTGAGGTTCGTCACGGAAGGGGGGCTGCACCTGGACCCCCTGCCTATAGTCCTAGCCCCGTCTAGAGCCCTGCGCCAGGAAGCAGGCAGTTTCATGGGTTTGACATACCTTCAGTTGCCACAAGATGAGGGTTTGGCAGCAACCCATAGTGCCTTATTTTATCCAGCCACCAAAGCCCAGATGGCCTGTGTCTCAGAGGGCAGCACAGCACAGCACAGCTGGAGCGGGGGATGGGGGATGCATGTCTTACATGCATGGCACCGGGGTGGAGCAGATCTGATTTCTGTCCCAGCTGGGTCTTTTGACCCCTGGAAACTCCTTGCAGCTTTGGCATGGTGAGTGTGCCCGACTAGCACCTCTGTCAGCCCACTCCCCTGCCTCTCCTCGTGACACCGTTTCCCTTGGAAAAGCCTGATTCAGCCCTGCATGGCCAGCTTTGGCCTCATCTCCATCTGGGGCTACACAGACGGTAGCCAGGCTTTGGGCCTTGGCTTAGCCAGGTTCAGTCACCAGGCTGCATTCCAGTGTCCTCCCAGGCTCACTTGGCAGCTGCAGGAGTCTAGCCCTGGCCTCTGCATCACGTTCTCTGTGGGATTCTTGCAGGTGGATCCTGCTGATGAGAGAGAGGCCTGCGGATAGTTCAAGAGGCCTGAATGTCCTTTCTGACCCCAGTGGCCACCTCTTGCTGATAGTGTCTAAGAATCAAACTCGGTGCTTGTGAATGCTGTGCAAGTCTCCTGCCTCGTTCTATCATGTCACACCTCACCTAGCTAAATCCCAGCTTCTCCCTCCTCTCTGCCACTCTGTGCCCTGGTTGGATTGGATCCATTGCTCTTAGGTTTCTAGAACATTCACAGGTGTCTAGTGCCTGGTGCTCCCCTGCAGTTGTGATTGGATTCACAGTGGCTTCACCCCCTGCTCAGTCTGGCATGCTGTGTGTGCTTTGAGGGGATTGGGTCGCTCAGTGAATGCTGCCAGCCCCTTTGGGAAGGATACGAGGTGTCAATAACAAACACAAGGCACCGGAGTGTTGCAGGCTGGGGGAGCCGGGAGAGGGGTGGGCATCTCAAGGACGGGATGATGGGAGGTAAGTGAGCTCCATCTCCAGCCTGGCCAACTCCTTGCCAGATGGGGAGGTGAAGAGGGAGCTGAGGGGGTAAAAAGTGATGTTGAGGTTGATACTCCTGTAAGTGGCATTGGCAGCAGTCCTGAGGACCTAGCAGGCCATCCCTGTCCACCTAGCTTAGACGCCTGAGGCTGGCCAAAGTCTGCAGGTTTGGGAAGCTGTACTTAGAGCAGAGGTCTGCTCGTTTGCCTTGACCCACCCTGTGTGGGCAGCGTCAGCAGCATATTACACACACACATCAGCAGCATATTACACACACACACAAGCAGCATATTACACACACACACCAGCAGCATATCACACACACACACACTTGGCCATGGGTGCCCTTCCATTTCCCGGATAGCTTCAGTGTCCCCGCGCCTCCCAGACAGCTGCTTTGACTCTCAAGCAGAGCATCTCCCGCTTGGCCTTGGGGCAGTGATGTCATAGTTCTGTCCTGCTGCCTGATGGTTTCTTCTTTGGATTTCTGACTGTTTGGATGGCCGAGGGGGCCTGGCGGCGTGGGATGTGGCCATGCTCCTGAAAACAGTGAGATTTCTGCCCATGGTCCATATTTGGCAGGTAGACAGAGCTGGTTATGGAGGACATACATCCCCTGTTGGTGCGGCCACTTCTCTTGTTCTGGGGTCACTTAAGGCTGCTGCCAGACTGGGCGGAGGCCATGTGTGCCTGGTTGCCTCAGGACCAAGGCTGGTGGATCCTCTGGAGGCCTTCCTGACTGTTTGTCTCTCCTTAGGGTCCTTGAGCCCTGGGCCAGGGCATCAGGAGCAGGCCTCCCAGCCCTGGGCTGAGGAGCGTTGAAGGAGGAGCAGCCGTCTGACCGCTCGTGGTCCCCAGGTTCCTGTGGTGGCGCTGCCAGGCCCCAGGCCACCTTGTCAACCTCCATATCATGGAGCCTCCTGGTGAGAAGCCAGGAGAGGCCGAGGGGCTGCGCATCACACCCCAGCTGCTGAAGTCCCGCACGGGCGAGTTCGCCCTGGAGTCCATTCTGTTGCTGAAGCTGCGAGACTTGGGGCTGGTGGACCTGGGCTGCCTGGGCGAGTGCCTGGCCCTCGAGTGGCTGGACCTGTCAGGCAACGCCCTCACCCAGCTGGGCCCGCTGGCCGCCTTGCACCAGCTGGCCGTGCTCAATGTCTCCAACAACCGGCTGACAGGGCTGGAGCCCCTGGCGGCCTGTGAAAACCTGCAGAGTCTCAATGCAGCGGGCAACCTGCTGGCCACGCCGGGCCAGCTGCAGTGTCTGGCTGGGCTCCAGGGCCTCCAGCACCTGCGGCTCCAGGACCCACTGGCCCGACTCAGCAACCCGCTGTGTGCCAGCCCCTCCTACCATTCTGCGGTCCGAGAGCTGCTGCCTGGCCTGAAGGTCCTAGACGGGGAGCGCGTGAGCGGGCGCGGCAGTGAGTTCTACCAGCTGTGCCGAGACCTGGACAGCTCCCTGCGCCCCAGCTCCAGCCCAGGCCCCCGAGCCTCGGAGGCCCAGCCCTGGGTAGAGCCTGGGTACTGGGAGAGCTGGCCCACCCGGAGCAACTCCATCCTGGAGGAGGCCTGCCGGCAGTTCCAGGACACACTGCAGGAGTGCCTCGACCTGGACCGCCAGGCCAGTGACCGCCTCGCGCGGGCCCAGCAGACGCTCAGCCCTGCTGGGGCCGCTTCTTCTGAATGCAGCCCAGGCCCAGGAGCCCGGCACTTCCCTGCTCTGCACTTGCCCGGCGCCCTGCACCCCCAGCTGTTCCTCTCTCCCTGTCCTGAGCGCAGCCTCTCGGCGGCCCCCTGAGGACACTGCCCCCCACCCCCATGTAGGTGGGGTGCACCCGGACCTGCGTTCACAGCCGCTCCGTGGCCAGCTTACTTCTCATCTACTCTCATTAAATGGCTTTGTGTTTATCTGCATCGCCGCCTGTCACTCAAGTCCGGACCAGAGGCTCCACTCACCCCATTGTTTCTTCCTGGGGGTCCAGCAGGAAGGGGCTTGCATGCCCCCCGCCCCCTCACACCACCCTCCCCCTTTCAGCTGGCCTTAGTAGATTGAGCTACAGAAGAGCAACACAACAGAGCAGGTAGGTAAGTGCTGAGAACAGGTTTATTAGACCAGAAGAAGCTGGAACCTCCAGTCTGGGCAGGCGGGGCCTGCCATCCGCTCCGGCATGCAGCTGTCCTCAGTGGGGTACAATTCTAGTGGAGAAGGAGAACCAGATTGGAATGTGACAGAGACAGTTCTGGTCTGGTCTTAGCCTTCATTCAGTCTTGATCCACCTCTTCCCTGCCTCCCACAGCCAGCAAGTGTCCAGCCTCCACCTCAGGGGCTGCCCCTGCCCCAGGCCACCTACCAATTTGGGGCTCATTTGGAGGCCCCAGATTTCAGGAAGGCAAATTGTCCGGGGAGGTACAAGCTGTCTTCACCAGCCTGTTCCACCTTGGCGCAGTGGTGCCTCTGGGTCTCCTGTCAGCACCAACAGCTACTGGCAACAGTGTGCAGAAGGGGGGACACCTCCACACCCCCTAGGGAATGCTCTGGACCATACCCAGAGTGCCCTCTCACCCCCCATCTTCACCCTCTCCCCTCCTCACCACGCTTTCTCTACCTCTCCCGCAGACTCAGCCTCTCCCCATCTCTCCAGCCTCCTCCCAGGCCTTTCTGTCCCTTCTGACCTGATGCCCTTGTGGCTGAACAGGGCAGTGGACCATCCGTCCCAGAACGTGATTGTCAGGACCCAGTTTGATGCAGGCCAGGCATCTGCGCTTCCTCTGGAAGAGCAGAGGAGAGGGGTGAGAGGTGTGGGCAGTGGGGGCCGAGCTGCTGGGGCACAGGGTCCCCTAGCAGGCTCCAGAGTTGCTGGGCAAGGGTCTGCACAGGCCAGCTGGCCTCAGGCACAGCCCCCCTAGGACTGGGCCATTTTAGAGGTCAAATAATGTGGATGTTTTTGAACTAGAAGTGCTATGTGTGTATGCATGTATGTGTGTATGTATGTATGTAGCTCTTGCTGGCATAGAATTGGCGATCTTCCTTAGTCTCCAATTGCTGGGATTACAGGTATAAACTGCCATACTAGAACCCACAAAGCTGGTGAGCACAGAGTAGGGACTGGAACCCAGCGGGCTCCGTCCTTCATCAGGGGGTCACCCCACCCCGTAGCAGCAGCTTTACCCCTAAGGGGCAGATGACGGAACCCCTGCTGTATGAATCCGCTGTGGCCTAATGTAGGTTCAGGGTGAACCCCATGCCAGGAACGTCTTTCATGAGTGAGCTGTCACCCGGGACAGGGAAGGACCCACTGGTGGAGATACGCCCCTCCCCTGCTCTGCTTCCCCTCCCTCCCCACAGCCCTGGCGGTGTGTGCCGTGGTGAGGACCCCGGCCTCAGGCCTGTCCATCCACAGGCCCTCCTCACCCCCTTGGGCAGGACTTTGCAGCGGGCCTCCTTCCAGTCCTTCTTGCGGCAGTTGGTCTGCTGGATGTTGAATTCCATTTTCACAAAGGTGCCGGCGGGGAAGGGCTGTGGACAGACAAGCAGCAAGGCCAGAGGCCAGGTTGGAAGTGACAGCGTCCTGCCACCCCCTGCCCCTACTGTGGAGCAGCCCAGCCCTGGAGGTGGCTGGGCCCAGGCTTTCGGGGCCCCACACGCCACGCACCATGTCCAAGGCGCTGTTGATGCTGGTCTTCTGAAAGGCCCACTGTACAAGGGGGTGCTTGTGGAATTCCTCCAGGGCCACCTGCAGGCTCTTGTGCTGTGTCTCCGAAAGCTGGGTCTCGGGGAGCTGGGCCCATCCTGTGCCCAGCCACAGGGCCAGCGGGATCAGCAGCTGCCACATGGCCTCGCCTGTCACTCTGGCCTGCATAGAGCGAGTGCTGTCCTCAGTGGCCTGGCCCAACCCTCCCTCCTCCCCCCCCCCCGCCCCCCCAGCGCTTCTGGGGCCCGTGCCCACAGGGCTTTGGGCAGAGGTGGAGTAACCACCAGGGGGATGGCCCTGCTGGGAAGAGCACTTGGGGTCCACCTGGCCCCTTCTAGCCTGCCCAGTGCTGTGCTGTTCACCGCGGCCAGTGGGGGTTTAGGCGCGTCGCCCACAGTCTGGCAGTCTGGGAAGCAGTCCTGTTGTGAGCCTCTTTTCTGGCCCAGTCTTTCCCGGCTTCCACCCCCCCCCCCCCCCCCCCCCCGCCCCAGTCCTTCCTAGCCTCCGCCCCCCACCCCTAGTCTGGAATCTCCCGGCTCCCAGAGTCCCTGCCCCTCCCCAAGTCTCAGGCTCTGCCAAAAGCCAGGGAGAGGCTGGGACTGGAGCACCAAGGGAGGCAGTCTGGAAGCGAATACTTTTGCAGAGTGTAAACAAGTGTGAGGGCCCCGGAGTTGGGGGGATTGGGATTGCAGAGCTGTCCGATCCCCCCCCCATTGTAGAGCTGCCCTCCCACCCCCCACGAGCAGGGCCAGACAGCAGCTCTGCTCCCAGCCCCAGAAATGGAGGGCTCTCTGCATGTCTGGCCTTAGGCTCTCCAGCTCCGGGCAGATCCAGGCTCCTTCGCCTCTGCTGGGGTCTCCTGTCTCTGTCAGTCCACCCTTGATGCAGGACTTCCCGTGGGGAGCCCGCCCGGAGACCCCTGCTACACAGGTGGCCTAGGGAGCAGGGAGCCACGAAGTAAGGGCGTCCCACGCCCGGCGTTCGGGCCGGCTCCCTGGCTCCTCGGGGCTGCCCAGCCACTCCCCATGCCGCCCCCTGCTCACCTCCGGCCTCAGGAGTCTCCTCTCCTCTGCTGCTGCAGAGAAACCGCTGTGAGGCTGTCAGCCCCTTCCTGGCAGCTCTTAACCCTGCAGCCCCAAACCCCACCTCCTGAGTCCCCTCCAGGCATTTGGGCTCCTCCCCACTCAGGACTGGGCCAAGCCCTGGCCTCCCACACCTTCCCTCTGGGTCCCACCCACCTCCCTCCTACTGGCTGGGCCCTGACCTGGACCCTGACCGTGACCCTGACCGTGACCCCAGCCCTGACCAGCGCAGGCTGATCACCACGACCGGAGGTCTAGCCTCCCTCTGGCTGACTCCACCGCCCAAGCCTCTTCCCTCAGGCTGAGGGACTGTCCCAGGCTCCCAGCGCCTGCCCCAGGTGCCTCGCTGAAACTACCTTGCCCCAGGTTTTCCCTAGTAAATGGGGGTTCCAGCATCACTGAGGCTTTAATTTCAGGACATTTGTCTACGAAGTAGACACGCTCAAATCACTGCAAACCTTAAGGCGTGTCCCCCCCCCCCCCCCGCCCCCCCTGCCTTTCCCAGCAATCCCCTGTCCCACCGTGCTGGTGATGATTCATAAGGCAAGTGGAAAGTTAGGGGAAAACTGTCCAAATATTGGCTCAACTCCTGCAAATAGGCCACGCTGTGGGACTGCAGTTTGATGACGGTCAACACCGTTCGTGTAGATTCAGCCTTGAGCCGGTCACCCGAGCCAGGCTCGCCCAGGGCCTCTGAACTTCTCTGCAAGGATCATAAACCATAGGCTGAGGGTGGCAAAGCCTACGAAACATGGCTGACCGCTGCTCAGTGTGGGGCCCCAGACTCAGCCCCCTCGGCCCCCCCCTGCCAGATTCCTCATGGAGAGCGAAACATGGCTGACCACTGCTCAGTGTGGGGCCCCAGACTCAGCCCCCTCGGCCCCCCCCTGCCAGATTCCTCATGGAGAGCGGCTGGGAAGGAAAAGCCCCTCTATAGGAATAGTTGCAGTTGTCCAGATGGGAGATGAATGTGGCTTTGACACACTCAAAGTATGGGCCGTGACCATGGGAAAAGTAGTAACACCAGAGTTTCCCTGGGAATAGAAGCACTGGGAGCGGTAGGAGAGTGGATGTGGGGCTGGTGGCCAGGGGAACAGGAGAGATTCTCAGGCTATGAGCCTGAACAACCACCAAATTGGTGATGGTGCTTAAGGAGGTAAGAATGCGGACAGGAAGCCCCCGGGGTGGCAGTTTTGAGCACTTGCAAGGGAGAAGCTGGGCGTGGGGGAGTCATGGGGATTAAAGGTGGAGATCAGAGCAGGGAGGAGGTTGGGGGTCCTGGAGGCCCCGGAAGGAGGACATGACAGGGCTAGGCGGAGAATGACATGGTGACAAGTCAGGAGCACATGGGTCACTCTGTGGGGAGGAGCAGGCATGAGGCCATGTGTGTTCAGAGGTATGAGGAACTGTGACAGCAAACACCAAATCTAAGGAGGCCAGGGGTGATCTTAGCAAGAGAAGGGGAGTGTAGCAGGAGAGGGAGGGTGCGTCGTGATGTTTCTTACTTTGCTGAGAGAGGAATAAAGAGAAGATGCTGATAGTAGGGAGGGGTCGAGTACAGAAGCAGCAGCAAGAACTGGAGCTAGTCTAGCAGAAGCAATAAGGTTTCCCATTTCACAAGACTGCTCATTCCTGTGATTTGCTCTTCCTGTCTTTCTCTCTTTTCTTCCTTCCTTCCTTTTTTATTCCTTTCTTTCTTCCTTTTCCTTTCCTTTCTTTTTGTCCTTCTTTCTCTCTTCTTTTTGCAATCTGGGAAGTATCTTTCCTAATGCTCATTTAGCAAAGATACACATCTGGGCATAGATGCACAACAAATTGTCTCACAGTTTGCTCTAGAACTGGAGTTCCAACGTTCTGTCTTCTGTAAGCAAGATGGCAGCCACACCCAATGCGCTGACAGTACATGCAGCTGCCCTCTATAAGGTGTCTCAGGAAAGACTGAACAGGAGTGACTCTGTGTGTGTGTGTGTGTTGGTCATGGGGCTTGAACTCTGGATCTGGGCACTGTCCCACTGTAGCACTCTACCACCTGAGCCACAGCACCACTTCCGGCTTCTTCTGTTTATGTGGTGCTAAGGAATTGAACCCAGGGCCTCCAGCATGTGAGGCAAGCAATGAGTGATATTTTTGAATGCTAAATCCTGAGACTCCATTTTTGTTCCCCCAGAACTGAGGACTGAACTCTACCTGTGTTTGCTGGGCAAGCATACCCCTTGAGCCTCACCCAATTTGTTTGAAGACTAATTTCCAGATAGGGTCTGAATAAACAGATGGCAGTTCTCAGTCACTCTGGATACAGGGGAGTCAGAAAGGCTCTGTTCCCATAGTCCAGCTTCTCATCATAGATTAGTCCCAGCTCTCAAGTCCCTGAGTTGGCAGTGAGGCTTGTGGTTTGTTTTTCCAGAAGCTTAGTTTGGCGACTCCTTTGACCATTACATTTAGCCTCCTGTCCGTACCTGGGAGCCAGATACGGCTCCAAACTTCTCCCTGCTCTCCTTCTGCTGTGATTGCTTCTCTGTAAACTCCTGGGCCCCATGTAGCTTTTCCTTTCCTCCACTCCCTTCCTCCTCACAATCTGGTAGCTTTTCTGTCCCTGGATTCTTTTCCTCCAGCTTGTTTTGAATGTAGGGCCTTGCTAATTTTAGCTCAGGCTGGACTTGAACCATAATTTTCTACCTCTGCCTCCTGGAGACTCCACTTTTAATCACAGCATATAATTCTTATATATTTCTGATGAAATATGATTAAGAGGATAATAAAACTAAACTTTTGATCATAAAGAAAGCAAAATGCCTCATTCAAATAACTCACAGATCAAAGAGAAACTGGATAAAATTTCAGAATGTCTAAAAATAGCCATTTCAAATTGCTGTGTGTCAGAACTAGCCTAGGCAGAAAAGTCTATGAAATTCTTATCTCCAATTAACTACTATAAAGGCATAAGTAGAGGTATGATTCAAGTGTTAGAGTACTAGAATTGAGTGAAAAGCTACATGACAGCAAGCACCCAGGCTCTGAGTTCAAGCCTAAGTGCCATCTCTCCACCCACCCACACACACAAATAAATCCAAATGTGTAAGGAAATGTAATATAAGATAAAGGCTGCATTTTAAATTTTTAGGAGAAAAATTTGTATTACCCCATAAATGGGGGATATCAGTTTGAGGCTAGGCTGGGCATAAAAGTTCCTGAGACTCCATCTCAACCGGCACCTGGACGTGGTCACTCAAGCCTGTTACCCTCGCCATGAGGAAGCACAGGAGCCCGGTGCAGTGGAGTGCTGTCGTCCCAGGCAATGTAGGAATGCACAAATAGGAGGATTAAAGGCCAGGCCTGCCCGGCATACAGCAAGATCCTACCTGGACGATAAGCAGAATAAAAGGAATGTACAGCTGTGCTTTGTAATTCAGCTTTCTGTTCCAAGAAGCTGCTTGGAGTGGTTAGTTTGCCAGTGTTTTTGCCAAGGTGGCATTAGTTTGCATAATCCTTTCCAGGAATATATTGTCAAAACAGGATGTGAGCAGGGTCCTTCTGCTTGTGTTCAGAAATTTTGCAAAAATGAAGTAAAATGACCTTTCTACCAAGTGACATGCAGTCTTTAGCAAAATGGAGTAGCTTAGGCTAATTGGAGCTGGGGGCCTGACATCCTTCCTTCCCTTTGTACACTATTACCAATTCCAGATAAAGGACATAATTACACTAGATGACAACTGAAGAGCTTACTTGCTGAATAACACCAACCTCAAAAACATTTTTTTTTTTGGGTCCGGTCGTGGGGCCTGAACTCTGGGCCTTGGCACTGTCCCTCAGCTCTTCAGCTCAAGGCTAGCGCTCTACCACTTGAGCCACAGTGCCACTTCCGGCTTTTTTCTTTTTGCTTATGTGGTGCTGAGGAACCGCATGCAAGGCAAACAAGCACTCTACCACTGAGCCACCTTCCCAGCCCCCCCAAAAACATTTTTAATAATTTTGATGAGTTTGGCTATATGATCGTATAAAAAACAATCAATATACCAAACGGGGAAAAGAGTTGAAACCCAACTTTCAAAGACAAAGAATCTCAAGTTAAAACGAGAACAGCAGGAAAAAAACAAAAACAAAAACAGATACCATAAATGCCAGTTTCACCCATAAGCAAAGAATGTTTAGACCAGTGTCTCAGATGGTTAATAGCTGTGTGTGGTGGCAAGAATTCCCCATCAGATGCTGTCAGGACTAAGACTTTCAGGCCTTTAGAGCTGTGCCTGCAAAACAGTCTAAGATAGAATAAAATCAAGACTAACCCCCAATACCAAAGGACATGCTAATAGTTGGAGAAAGGATCTTTGAAGAGGTAGTTAAGGTAAAAAAGCTCATTTGGGGTGATTGTCAGTCTTGAGGCTTGGACTCTAGGCCTGGGCATTGTTCCCGAGTTCTTCAGCTCAAGGCTAGTGCTCTACCACTTGAGCCATAGCTCCACTTCCAGTTTTCTGGTGGTTTATTGGAGATAACTCTCATGGCCTTTCCTGCCCAGGCTGGCTTTGAACTGAGACCCTCAGATCTCAGCCTCCTGAGTAGCTAGGATTACAGGCGTGAGTCACCAGTGCCAGGCTGAATTTTTTTTATTTTTAACATATGAATGTGACAGGAAATGGAAATTAAGTGGATTAACAGTTTAAAATCTGTAATTATTCCTTTGAGAAAACCCAACCACTATTAAAGAGAATATTGACCATTATAAGGTACATAATATGTGTCAGCTTTGTGAGAAATATTTTTCTAAATTGAAGTGGTCAGAATGCAGATACCAAGCTGAGCTTGGAGTGCAGTACACATAGTCGACCACTAGATGAAGATGCAGAACAGGAATTGTATCTGTCACTCTTCAAACAGGGAGTTCTTAAGTTTTTCAGGCAAGGCTGTGAAATTATTTTGATGTTATGTACTTGCAATAGTCTGTCATCACTTGCTGATTTGTAACTTAACTTTAAGAACTTCTCTTGATTCTACCCTGATCCCAAATCAAGCCAGTTTATTGTATTGGTTTTCTAGAAGCATCTCAGCCAGCAGGTGGCGCTTCAATTAGAGTAATTTAAGTTCTATTAACTGAATTTTCCCATTAGTCTTTTAAAAATTAATTTTAGCATATTATAAAATACACTAAGATATTATGGAACAGTATCATCTGAATAAAAATAAATTTGTCATTTTAATTAAAATCTATTTTAGTGTATGATTTGTTGAATGTAATCTTAAGTGAATGTAGTTAAGTATGTCACTTGGTTGCAATTTGTCATAATATCTCCCAAATAAATCTTCAGTCCTGTTGAGAGTGTTAGGTTTTTAAAAAGAGGTAACCGAGTAAAAACTGCACCAGCACGCACGTGGTATTCAGGTAAGGGGTAGGTTTATTCAGTAGACCTGCTGGGACCAGGCAAGGTTGGCACTCCATGTGGCTGAGAAAGGCCTGGGAAGGAGAGAGAGCTGAGAAAGAGAGGAAAGAGCTAGAAAAGAGCAGAGAGAGGGGTAAGAACAGTAGCACTCACGTGGTATTCAGGTAAGGGGTAGGTTTATTCAGTGGACCTGCTGGGACCAGGCAAGGTTGGCACTCCACGTGGCTGGGAAAGAGAGGAAAGAGCTAGAGCAGAGAGAGAGCAGAGAGAGCTAGAAAAGAAGAGCAAGAGCAAGAGAGCTAGAAAAGAAGAGCAAGAGAGCTAGAAAAGAAGAGCAAGAGCAAGAGAGCTAGAAAAGAAGAGCAAGAGAGCTAGAAACGAACAGAGAGAGAAAGAGAGCGTCTGGGCCTGGGCTAGGCCTTATGTAGGGTATGGGCGGGGAAAGGTGTGGCCACATCAAATTCAGATGTGACCTCTTCCAGGTGTCCCAGTTGCCTAGGTAACGCAGGTACTGGGTGGAGACTTTGCTGCGAGGAGGGTGGAGTCTGCTCGCCATCCAGGAGTGAACCTTACAGAGAGGATAGTCTCTTCTCATGTCCTAAGACAATGAAGGCACCCTTTTTATTCAGAGATCAGAGATTTCTAGCTAACTAAGGAGGTGCTGAGTTTAAAGTGTGACCCAGATTTGGTCTTGGGAGCAGACCAGAGTGGGCAGAGTGAAGCCAGGTTAACTCTTTCCAGTCACCTAGGCGGCTCTATAGAAAGCGAGTCACATCAGGAGTGAATGAGCCACGGTTATTTGGAAAACATTACAGTCATCACCACCACCTGCCACCCCCAGGAAACAAAGCCGCCTGCTACACCTGCTGCGGCTCTCTGAAGAGATTCTGTATAGAATTTCATTGCATCTCCCAACCAAACTTGGCTTTTTGTAGGTATTGAAGCAGGAACAGGTGCCCGCTGGCTTCTAAATCCACCTTTTGAATTAAGTTGAAAAAGATATACCAGGATTCCAGCTCAAAATAGAATGAGACATGAGACTGTAAAAATACATGGGATTTGACCTTGAAAGGATAACAAAGGAGATTTCTAAAAAAGGTTGAGAACCTTACTTAGAAATAAGAATTGAGGCAGCAAGGCTGTGCTTAAGGCCTGTGACCGAGTTCTTCAGGGTATTAGAGACTCACAACTTCTCGTTCTTTGTCTCGCTCAGGTACTGACGACTCTTGGTGTGAAAAGGTGACACCTCTCCCTGCGGATCCTCCCCACTCGCATCTCCTGCTTAGCAAAGCAAGGAAGACAGTTTGAGGTCCACTGCTGAAAGCCGGCGCTGTCGGCTGCTCAGACCAGTGTGATCGACGTAGATTCAGAACTGTGAGATGGGCCTTCAACTTGCACGTTTGTTTGGCCACCAAACCCTGTTGAGTGGCTACTCTGAGCAGCACCTTTCTAGACACTGGCTGTACTGTGAGCCACAGGCTGAATCTCTGTCTAGGTGTGATTTATCTGTGGTGGGGAGCTGAAAAACAGCCATGTAAATGATTGTTATGCATAGGTGTCATAAAGAACAATAAAGCAGCCACACTTATAATCCTAGCTACTCAGAAGGGTGAGATCTGAGGATCAAGGTCTGAAACCAGCCTGTCTGGGAAAGTTGTGAGCCTCTTCACCAAACTACTAAAAAAAAAAAAAAAAAAAAAAAGCAGGAAGTAGAGCTGTGGCTCAAAGTGACAGAGCACAGGCTAGAGCAAAAGAAGCTCAAGGACAGCACCCAAGCCTGGAGTTCAAGACTCAGGAATGGCACCAAAAACAAACAATAAAGTCAGGTACAGATGGCTTATGCCTATAATCCTAGTTATTCAAGAGACTGAGATCTGAAAATCTCAGTTGGAAGCCAGCCCTGGCAGATGAATCTAAGAGACTCTTATCTCCAATTAACCAGCAAAAAAAGCCAGAAGTGGAGGTGTGCCTCAAGTGATAGAGAGCTTTGAGTGAAAAAGCCAAGTGAGAGGTGTAGGCCCTGAGTTCAAGCCCCACTGCTAGCACCAAAAAGAATAATAAAGCAGAATAATGAAGGAGGAAGCAACAGGGTAGAAATGGGCTGAATAACAGACCCTTCATCCTTTGAGTCTGGGAATGTTCCCTTCTGTAGCAAAACACATTTTACAAATCTAAGAATTTTGACATGAGGAAATTAGATTTAGGGAAATATAATTAAAAGCAAAAGATTCTGCTAATCCAGAAAACCACTGCAGAAAGGAGAGAAAGTTTTTTTTGATGGCGGTGGTGGTGTTTTGTTTTTGTTTGTTTGTTTTGTCCTGTGCTGGTACTGGGATTCAACTCAGGGTCTCACATTATCACTTGGCTACTAACTTGAGCCACAGTTCCACAGTTCCACTTTCAGCTTTTTGGTGGTTAATTGGAGGTAAGAGTATCACAGGCTTTCCTGCTTGGGCTGGCTTCAAAATGCAATCCTCAGATCTCAGCTTCCTGAATAGCTAGGATTATGGGTGTGAGCCACTGGAGCCTGGCTTCACAGTTTGGTTTTGTTTTTTATGTGGTACCAAGGAGTCAAACCCAGGGCCTCATGTATGTGAGGCAAGCACTCTATCACGAAGTCACATTCCTAGCCCAACAGTTTTATTTCTTATTAAATATTAAGCCAGCATAAAATGTGCATCACAGGCAGTCTATGAGGACCCTGCAAAGCCAAAAAGAAACTCACGATCCTCTCACACAGCCAAGCAGCCTGAGTCTGCCACAGGGTGACAACCCCAAAGCATGGTGTGGGAAACTTGATCTCCTGCGCTGCAGTGTGGAGAGGTGGGGCCTTTAAAGAGGCGATTAGGCCTTGCAGGAAGGACTAAAGTTGTTATCAGAGGAATGGGTTAGGGCTGGGAAGTTGGCTTGCCTAGCATGTATGAAGCTTTGGGTTTGATTCCTCAGTACCGCGCGCGTGCGCGCTTACGCACGCACGCACGGACACATACACACACACACACAAAGCTGGAAGTGGTGCTGTGGTTCAAGTGGTAGGGGGCTAGCCCTGAGCACAGAGAGGCTCAGGGACAGAGCCCAGGCCCTGAGTTCAAGCCCCAGGACCCCACCCCCACCCTCTTACCTCCCAAAAAGGGAATAGGTTAGTTAGCTTGGGACTGGGTCCTGAGAAAAGGATGAGCTGGAGCCTGGATCAGTCCCTCACACCCGTGAATCTGGCTATTTGGGAAGCTGAGATTGGAAGAATGAGTCATGGTTTAAGGCTGGCCCAGGCAAAATAGTTCTGGAGATGCCTTATCTCAACCAATTCAGAAACTGAGTCTGGTGGCACCAAGTTGGTCATCCAGCCTCTTGAGAAACATCAATAGGAGGCTTGTCGCAATAGTGGCAGGCCCTATTAGAAAGATCATGAAAGGAAAAAAAAGGCTGGAGACACAGTGCAAATGGTAGAGTGCCCGCCTGCCTACCAAGTGCAAGGCCCGAGTTTAAACTCCACAACTGAAAAAAAAAAAAAAGAGTTGAGTGCTTTTTCCTCTCCTCTCCCGCATGCGCGCACCGTGCGTGGTGCAAACCCAGGACCCTCGGTGTTAGAAAATGAACAGACACACAAGAGATGCGGGAAATTTCATCAAGGCAATTTACTTCTGTCCAAAAAGGTGCTTTGCCACTCTCCCCGGGACGTCTGCTGGTTTTTATCCTACCCCAAGAGGTGATGTCCTTTCTCCTGGTTGCTAAGAAGTCAGGCTCCTCGGTTCTGTTTGCTTGTTTTACAGTTGAGTACAGAGTAATGAGGTTAAGGGAAGTTGGGAGCCACTCTAACCATGGGGTGAAAGGTCTCTACTGGGGAAGGGGGGGAGGGACTTCCTTTCGGAGGCAAAGGTGCACATTCTTCTTGTCATGGCTGGGGCTGGCTGGGAACCGGGCTGCTGACAGTTACAGTTGGAGGAGGTTGGTAAAGCCAGTGGGAAGTTCCCATTGTGGGGAGGGCCCTAGTCTTATACATACATATGTGTGTATATATATATATATATATATATACATATATATATATATAATTTTATTATATAGATATATATAATTTTATTATATAGATATATATAATTTTATTAGTAATTTTTATTATATGAATAAGGTGTTGTACAAAGGGGTCACCGTTTCACAAGTCAGGTAAAAAATGTACACGGGGTCATGTTCTTTAACTCCCCTGGGGAAGGGCTCCTGCCCTTGGCGTGGCGGGCTGGTTACAGTGGAAGTCCAGCAGCAGCTCTTAGCACCGGGAAATATCAGTTCAGAATGGTGACTGACAAGATAGAGACATTTTAGTTTGACAGAAAAGATGGCTTTTTCCCAGAGCAGCAAGGTGTTTGTCAGATGGCCTTTGGCCTTGGACTTCCAACCTTCAAAATGATAAGAAGTACATTTCTAGTCTTCATTATAAACTCTCCACTGTCTTCAGCCAGACATATTGATACATGCCTGTAATCTCGGTGCTTGGGAGGAGGAGGCATGCGCATCATTCATTTTAAGGTGGCCTGGACTATGCAGCAAGACCTTGTCACAAACAGAAAAAAGTGACCTGGCATCAAGAATTCTGTTGCAGCAATGCAGAAAACACACACACACACACACCCCATTCTGCACACAGACCTGCCAGCCCCATTTGTCACAGTGGGTCCCCTAAATTAGCTTGGTGATGGCAGGAGCCACCTGTTTGTTTGGTAATTGCCTTTATCCAAAGAGGAAACGTGCTCCTGTCTGTGTTTGCCATTTGCAGCCAGGGCAACCCTCTTTGGCAACTGACTTCACCTACGAGCTGCCTTCTCCCCAGCCCTCAGGCTCTGCACCAGCCAAAGGGCTTAGTTAGCTTGAAAAATGATTTACACATCTCAAATGGAAAAGCTCACGATTGCGCAAACCAAAGCGGATAAGGCGGTGGAGCGGGGAGTCTCCCTTTTTGCACCAGGAAGAATAAAAATATATCTTTCTGTGGTGCATGGTGACTCATGCCTGTAATTCCAGCTACTCGGGAGTCATGAGATTCAGCAAACCATGCGTTTGAAGCCAGCCAGGGCAAAATGTTAACGAGATCCCATCTCAGCCAATAAAGCCGGGCACCATGGCACATGCCTGTGATCCTAGCTATGTGGGAGGAATAAAACAAGAAGATCATAGTCCAGGCTGACATGTGGAAAAATAGGAGACCCTATTTATAAAATAATTAAAGCAAAAAGGATGGGAGTCCGGCTCAAGTGGTAGAGGACCTACCTATTCCATGTGAGGCACTGAATTCTAATCCCGGTAACCACAAATTTATCTTTTTTTTTAGTTTGTATTTGTCCTGCATTACTGGTGAGCCTGGATGGATGCATCCTCGACTCTGTTAGGTGGTGACAGGAGACTGGATGGTGGCAGAGACGGGAGGTGACAGTGAAAGGACTTCTTCCACCTGCTTGGGCTCCAGTCAGCCAGTATGCAGCTGTGTGGCCTTGGGTGAGGCTTTTAGCGTCTCCGAGTCTCACTTGCTTCCTAGGTAAATGTAGCACCCCAGACCATGTTTTCTAGTCTGACACAAAATAAAGACTTTTCACAGGGCACAGGTAAAACTAGAGGAGGGTTCTCTATTCTTCTGGACCACCACACTGGACATGTTCTGTTGGAAACACATGAGTCTCTTGTGTCAGACGTGCGAGAGACTAAGGAGATCCCATCAAAGCAACTCACTTCTGCACAGAAATGTGCGCAGCCACCTGCCCTAAAGCTGGGCAGCTGCCCTGGTCAGGTGCCTGCTGGTTTTTTCTTTTTTTTTTTGGGGGTCCGGTCATGGGGCCTGAACTCTGGGCCTGGGGCGCTGTCCCTCAGCTCTTCAGCTCAAGGCTAGCACTCTACCACTTGAGCCACAGTGCCACTTCCGGCTTTTTTCTTTTTGCTTATGTGGTACTGAGGAATCAAACCCAGGGCCTCATGCATACAAGGCAAGCACTCTACCACTGAGCCACCTTCCCAGTCCCATCCTGCTGGGTTTTAATACCATGCCAACCTGTCCCTCCTCCTTATCTGCAGTGGTTACCAGGATGATGGAGCAACACAAGGAAGTCCAAAAGAGCTGCAACTGCAGTGAGAAGTTCCCCCTCAGAGGGGTCCTCTCTCGTCGTGGCTGGCAGACGCAGGGCTAGGCATGGGGCAGCTGATGGCTGCAGTTGGAGGAGATTGGTCAGGTCATGGAAAGTTCCCACTGTGTGTAGGGAGTCTGTTTCTCTAATTCCATTGGTAAGGACTCATACCCTGGACGTGGCTGGCTGGTTACAAACAACACTGACAATAGTTATGATGGAAGTCAAGAAGCAAATAATTCCAGGAAATATCAGTACAGAATGGTGACTTGTTACAAGACGGAGACACTGTAGTGTGGCAGAAAAAGATTGCTTTTATGCATAGCTCCACAATATGCTGTCCCCGGCAGACTGTATGAGCCAACACAGATTCTTCATGTTTATAAATTTAAATTTTATAGAAGTAGCAAGAGTATATATTTAACCTGTAAATAAAAGCTCCACTGTGAAAGGTAAAATATGATCTGAACACATGGAGAGACATGAATCTTTATTCTCATCAAAAACAAACAAGGTTTTAAAAATACTGACATGAGCTAAGTGCCAGTGGCTCATTCACGCCTTTAATGCTAGCTACTTAAGAAGCTGCAATATGAGGGTCACAATCCCAAGTCAGTTCTGGAAGAAAGGCCTTTGAGACTTCTATCTCCTATTAACTAGCAAAAGAGCTGGACTAGGTGGAACCTGAATAGCAAATGCCATTTGTGTGTAGGAAATGCATGCAAGAGCCTGAGGTACTGTTCTGGTCTCAGTAATAGGAATGTGTGTGTGTGTGTGTGTGTATATATATATATATATATATATATATATATATACACAGACACACACATACATATATATGTGTATACATGTATATATATATACACACACATATACATTATACATATTTACTGACAAAAATTCTAAAGTTCATCTGGAAGAATAAATGAATGATTCTGTATAAGGAGTTAAAACTTGCTTTTGCAGTGTGGGGTTGGGAAAGATCGGGGGATGGTGACACCGATGGACATGCAGTAGACTCACAAGTTCAAGTTGAAATTCCTTATACAAACAGTTAAAGATAATACAGGTCTTCTTCTTGGGGGAACAACTACAAACAGAAACTAACCTAGATGCGGAGCTGGCCGCTTTAAATAGAAATCTGAAGGCCCAACACCATAAAAAGAAGACTGGCAGTTTTAGTCCATAAAACCAAAATGTCCTAACTTTCCCTCAAAAATTAAGCACTTGTCGGACACAGAGGTGTGTGCCTGTAATCCTACTTACCTAACTACTTAGGAGGTCAAGTCAGGAAGACCAAGAGTGAGAGGTTGGCCTGGGCCACGTTAGTTAGACTATCTCCCTCTCAAAAGCAAAGCAAAAAAAAAAAAAGTTTAAAGAATTTTAGGGGGCTGGGAAGGTGGCTCAGTGGTAGAATGCTTGCCTTGCAGGCATGAGGCCCTGGGTTCGATTCCTCAGCACCACACACGCAGAAAAAGCCAGAAGTGGTGCTGTGGCTCAAGTGGTAGAGCACTAGCCTTGAGCTGAAGAGCTGAGGAACGGTGCCCAGGCCCAGAATTCAGGCCCCATGACCAAAAAGAAAAAAGAATTGTACAAAGTTTAAAGTTTTTCTGAGGAAAGCCAATTACAACATACATGGAAAGTTATCAGGGTTACTCTATGCAATAAAACCAACTTCTCAACTTTTAAAATGAGTAAACAGAAAAACGGCCAAAGGGATATGAACAATTCTCAAGATATAACACAATGACAAGATACGACATGATGGTAATAAATAGTTGAAAAAAGTTATTCGATTAGTAATGTAAGAAACACAAAGCAAAACAATGAGAGTCATTTTAAATTTGAAAAAAAAAATAGCCCAAGTTATCAAGGAGCTAGAAAAATGGCCATTTCTTAGAGCAAACTAACACATCTCCCTGGAAAATCACTGTAAATGTTTAAAATACAACTTCTTTTTAACCCCTCAGTCAATAACTAGGATATAGAGAAAGGATATAGAGAAATGGGAGATTAATAAACAATCGTGTGCACTCGTGCAACTATGAATAACCCTGGTGTGGGGCCGGGTGCGGTGGTGCCTGCCTGTCGCCCGAGCAGGTGGGGGACCAGGCGGCAGGAATGAGTTCGAGGTCAGCCTGAGCTGCCCAGGGAGCCAGTGTTTCAAGAGCATTTTTAAAAAGTTGGTATGAAAGCAGATCGAGTGAACTGGAAGAACCCGCGCGATGGCGGGTGGTGAGGAGGAAGGGCAGCGTTCCTCGCAGGCACTCGCTCCCAGACGCCCCGGGCAGGCTGCGCGGTCCCCGGCAGGGCTGCGCGGGGTGCGAGTCCCGGGGCCTTCGCGGCGCCCGCTTCCTGTTTACGCGGCAGACTTTTAAAGAGCGTTTTCAAGAGAAGCGTACCAGTCCAAGCTGCTCTTGCTGGAGGCACCGAGAGCTTGGAAAGCCACGGTCACCTGCTCGCGGCGAGCCCGGGGCCGGCCCGCACCCGCCCGCGCCGCCGCCGGCGAGGGAGCCGCGCGCGGCCCCGGCCGGAGGCCCCGCGCGCTGGGCGACTCGGCCGCGCGGATTCGGCAGGCCCCGGCCTTCGAAGTTCCCCCGCTCGGAGCCTTTCCTCCGCGGGCTCCGGAACAAGTCGGAGGCGGCCGACCCAGGTGCGCCGCGGCCAGCCCGGGGTCCGGCGCGCGCTGCCCGTTGCTCCGCGGCCGCCCCGCCGCCGGGGACAGCGCTCCGGGGACGGCCGGCGCCCCTTGGGCCTCCCGGCAGGCTCCGGAGCGAGCGCCCCGGACTCGGTGACCACAGGCCGGCCACGCGGGCGCGTCCTCGGCCAGGGACAAAGGGTGGCGCCACTCGCGCCCCGGCCCGGGGCGGGGAGCCGGAGCCGCGGCCTCCATGGCAACGCGGCCGGCCGCCCCGGCGGGGGCGCGCGGAGGGTGACCGGCGCCCCGCCCCCGCCCGCCCGGGACTGACCCTCCGCAGCTCCTGTAGTCACGTGGCGCTGGGAACCGGCGGGGGGGGGGGGGGGGAGGCCGGGACGGGCCTGGCGGTTGTGAACTCGAACCCCCCCGCTATCGCCGCGGCCGGCGGGAGCGGGCCCTGGAGGCCGGCCTGGGGCTCCATGGACGGGCGCCGCGCCTGGGCTCAGCCCGCGGGAGAGGTACGGCTGGGGCGGCGCCACCTGCGGGGCGCGGGGCCGTGCGGGGCGGCGGGGCGCGCGCACCTGCGCTCGGGCGCCGCGGGCTGCGCGGGGCCCGACCTGGCCCGCGGTGGAGTGGGCGGGCGCGGACCGGGGACCCACGCCGACGCAGACCCGGGGTGCGGGCGCCCGGCCCCCTCGGCCGGGGCCCCCGGCGCGTCCTGCGCAGCGCGTGGGAAGCGGGCCTGGAATTCCCCCCGGCGCGTGGGGGAGGGGCCGCGGCCCCGGGCTCGCCGCCCGCCCTCGGCCACCGAACGGACCATTCGGTGACCTTCCCGGGGCCGGCGGGGCGGCCCTCAAAGGCGGCGGCGTGCTTGCTCCGTGCAGGGCCGCCCTCGTTCGCCCAGTGGCCATTGAGGTCATTCTGCCAGCGCGGGGGTAGGGGGGGGCTGAAGCCTGTGGCTTTGGCGGGGAGCACGAGGCTGGGCTAGCCTGGACACCACGATGCCCGGCCTCTCACGTGCCCTCTGCCCCCTCCCCACAGGTAAGGCTGGCCTCTGCCATGGGGTAGGGGTGGCTTTATTGCTACAGTTTTCTCAGACATCAAGGGGCTCTCGGAGCCGGCGCTGCTGCGGCTGCAGCGGCCCGAGTATCCCCAGGGGAGCTTGAAAAAGCCTCATCCTCAGCTCTGCAGTCTCCAGGGTAGAGTCTGCCCTTTGTTGCGTTCCCAAAGTACCCAGAGCGCCCAGGCCTCCCTGACCCAGGAGGGAAGGATCCCTTTACACAGCCTGGGGTCCCCCCCCCCACTCTGTCCAGTTGATCCGGAGCAGGCTGTGTCCTTGGGGAGCGTCGGGTAGGCGCAGGGAGCCCCTAAGGACTGACACCCTGCCCTCGCTCTGTGCAGGAGGATTCCAGAAATCTGGACTCCCTTGAGTTGTGGAAGAGCTAAACTCGGGACAGCCCCTGGCAGGCGGGGGCACAACCGGGGCCGGGGGACAGGGATTATAATCTTTTCTTCGCCCCCCCCTTCTCGCCTCCACAATCCCTCGCGCCCCAGGGAGGCAGAGCCAAGGATCAAGGCCCCCAGAGCCGCCGGCTGTGGGTGTTCCTTGGATAGAGTTCCCTAATCTTGCGGGGGTGGAGAGGGCAGGTGGCAGAATGTGGGCAGTCTGGACAGGCAGTGGCCTGGCAGTCGGCAGTGCTGGGACAGGCGTCAGCTCCCCCCAGCTCTGTCCTGGAGAAAGGCTCTTCTCCCTGCCCTGCAGCTGCTGCCCCGGAAGTGCCCGCGCCCCGTGCCTCTGCTGTGGCGTGGCACAATGTCTTGGGCCATTTCTTTGGGAAGATGTTTGCACAACCGGGTATTCTAAAGGAAAGAACACGGACCTCCAGGACAGGCCTGCTTCTTTGTGCTATTAGGGTTACTGTGTGGCAAGTCTCATTATCTTTTAATTCCTTGATTTGTTTCATCCAGCAGGTGTTGGAAAGCACGTGACCTTCCAGTGTCAGGGGAAAAAAATAGACACATTGAGAGAAAGGAGATAGATCTCCTCAAAGCAGTTTATTTCCGCATGGAAGGATGTGTAGCCACTCTCCCCACAGTTAGGCAGACAGACCAGGTAGGGTGGTCTGCTCAGTTTTTATCTGAACCCAAGCTGCCCCTCCTGGTCAAAGAGTCAGGCTCCCATTCTATTCACAGTTGGTTACCAGTGTGATGGGGTAATACAGGAAGTTAGAAAATACTCTTGTCAGTGAAAGGCCCCTGGTTGGGGGAGGGGCTATCATGTAACCTTATTGGAGGTCATGGCTGGCTGGACAGGCCCCTGACCCGTGCATCTGGAAAAGGTTGGTAAAGTCAATGGAAAAGTTCGCACTGGGGAAGGGGGATCCTATTCTTTAACTCCACTCCATTGGTTAAGGACTCATACCCTTGACATTGCTGGCTGATTACAAATAACACAGATGATAGTTACAGTGGAAGTCAAGACGCAAATAATTCCAGGAAGTATCAGTACCAGGAAATATCAGTACAGCCTGGTGACTTGTTATAAGATGGAGACATTTTAGTTTGACAGAAAAAGATTGCTTTCTCTCACACGGGGAGCTCAGTGTCTGATCCGCCAGCCTCACAAGCTGCCACGGGGCGGTAGGAAGCAGACACAAGAAGGCAGCAGGAAAGCTTGGAAACTGTGTCTGGCACTATCAGACGTGTGACCGCATTTTGTGGTAAATTTGATGGCTAGGGCTGGGGTATCTGCGTTGGGGAGAGGGGAGGGAAGCTAGGAAGTGCCAATCTCTCTCCCTAATGCAAGTTTCCAAGGCAATAAAGGTAGAAGATACACAGCTTGAAATGTTACCTAGAAACCCAAGACTGGGATAATACACAGCACTCAGACAGAGGGCCTAGGTTGGTGTAGGGCCCTGGCCGCCCTTGGGGCGGGGTCGTAGGGGAAGAACTGGGGCAGGGCCTTGGCTCCTGGTGTGACTCCCTCTCTTTTCCCCTCCGCAGAGGCCGGACCCATGCTGGCACAGCGCTGCAGGAGGCTCTCCATGGGCCCAACCCAGCCGGGGCTCCCTTCAGGGCCTTCCCAGGAGTCGCTGCAGGCCCCGGAGAAGGAGCCCAGCGGGCTGAGGCATCGAGGAGCTCCGGCGGCCCGAACGAGCGTCGAAGCCCCGCGCAGGGTCCATCGCTGTGCCCACTGTCGACGGCACTTCCCCGGCTGGGTGGCCCTGTGGCTGCACGCCCGGCGCTGCCAGGCCCAGCTGCCACTGCCCTGCCCCGAGTGCGGCCGGCGCTTCCGCCACGCGCCCTTCCTGGCGCTGCACCGCCAGGTCCATGCGGCCGCCACCTCGGACCCGGGCTTCGCCTGCCACCTCTGCGGCGGGCTCTTCCGAGGCTGGGTGGCCCTGGCGCTGCACCTGCGGGCGCACGCGGACGCCAAGAGGCCCATCGCCTGTCCCGAGTGTGAGAGACGCTTCTGGCGGCACAGGCAGCTCCGCGTTCACCTGCGGCGCTGTCACCCCCCGGCCCCCGAGGCCCGGCCCTTCATATGTGGCAACTGTGGCCGGAGCTTCTCCCAGTGGGACCAGCTGGTGGCCCACAAGCGGGTGCACGTGGCCGAGGCCCTGGAAGAGGCGGCGGCCAAGGCCCTGGGGCCGAGGCCTCGGGGCCGGCCCGCAGTCACCGCCCCCGGGCCCGGCGGGGACGCCGTGGACCGGCCGTTCCAGTGCGCCTGCTGCGGCAAGCGCTTCCGCCACAAGCCCAACCTGATCGCCCACCGCCGCGTGCACACCGGCGAGCGGCCGCACCAGTGCCCCGAGTGCGGGAAGTGCTTCACCAACAAGCCCTACCTGACCTCGCACCGGCGCATCCACACGGGGGAGAAGCCCTACCCGTGCACCGAGTGCGGCCGCCGCTTCCGCCACAAACCCAACCTGCTGTCGCACAGCAAGATCCACCGGCGATCCGAGGGCTCGGCGCCGCCGGGCCCCGGCCCCCGGAGCCCCCAGCTGCCGGCGGCGGTGGCGGCGGCCGCCGCAGGGCCCCGCGCAGACCCGGCCCCTGAGAAGCCGGCGGCGGTGGGGCCGGTGCCCGCGGGCCCCGGGGCGCTCGCGCAGGCCCCCTCCACGCTGTTCGCCTGCGCCGAGTGCGGGCGAAGCTTCCGGCTGGAGCGCTTCCTGCGCGCGCACCAGCGGCAGCACTCGGCCGAGCGGCCCTTCGCCTGCGCCGAGTGCGGGAAGCTCTTCGGCAAGAAGACGCACCTGGCGGCGCACGCGCGCGTGCACTCGGGCGAGCGGCCCTTCGCCTGCGAGCAGTGCGGCCGCCGCTTCTCCCAGGGCAGCCACCTGGCGGCGCACCGGCGGGACCACGCGCCCGAGCGCCCCTTCGTGTGCCCCGACTGCGGCAAGGCCTTCCGCCACAAGCCCTACCTGGCCGCGCACCGGCGCATCCACACCGGCGAGCGGCCCTACGCCTGCCCCGACTGCGGCAAGGCCTTCAGCCAGAAGTCCAACCTGGTGTCGCACCGGCGCATCCACACCGGTGAGCGGCCCTACGCGTGCCCCGACTGCGACCGCAGCTTCAGCCAGAAGTCCAACCTCATCACTCACCGCAAGAGCCACATCCGCGACGGCGCCTTCTGCTGCGCCATCTGCGGCCAGACCTTCGACGACGAGGAGCGGCTCCTGGCCCACCAGAAGAAGCACGACGTCTGAGCGGACCGGCGGGCGCGGCCGGGCCTGCCCGCCGCCGGGGCTTCCGAGGGTCCCCACGATCGGCCCTGCGCCCCGGAAAAGTAGCAATAGCAGCTCTATTTACCCTTAGAGCCCTCGGCTAGAGGAGCCGCCAGCCGGAAGGAAGCCTCTCCGTCCTCTGGTGTTAACGCCTTAATGTCCCAGTCTTTACTAGGAGTTACTTCAGGTCACTTTTGGAAGTAGGTGGGTGGGGTAGAGTCCTTAGGAAATGAACGGTCGGGGAGGGAACCTGGACGGGCTGGGGACACGTGGGGGAAACCTGCTGCCCGCGAAGGCCGCCGGGGCGGGGAGCCGGAGCCGCCCTTACCGCTCCCCCTCCTCGCTGCCGCCTTCCTAGGTGTCCCTGCGAAGACACCCAGGTACTGATTGTGGTATGCAAGCCAGTGATCCCACACGTGCTCCCGAAGCCCGATCCTCTCCTCCTTGGTCTGGTCTGGCTTTAGCTAAGGTCTGTCCCTGTGCTGAGCACTTCCCTGGCTGCTTTCCCAGCCCCTCTGCGCTCCCTCCGGCTCGGCGTGTCTTTGGGCAGGGCCTGGGTGAGTTTCCATTCCATGGTTATCAGTGGTTTGATGCCAGCTTCCAACCAACCAAGCTCTTGGGTCGACAGATAGTGTCGCCTCTTGAGCACCTGGTTCTATCGTAGGATAATTATAATTGTTAGAAATTCTCCCTTAATAATGATCAGATTCTGCTTTCCTGTGATTTCTACCCACTGGGCTTTGTTTTGTCTCTGGATCAGAACTGAACAACCACTCACCTTCCTTTTCAAACTAGAGAATAAAGATTTGGTTTTAGAAGTGGTGGCTTGGGAATGTCCTTTGTTGAGGGCTGTGGAGATGGAGGGGGAGTAAGTTGGGGGCGAGGGTGTCCTAGATAGCAGCAGTATCTGTATAGACTCGCTCCAGCCCTTCCCAGGGAAGGGACCGGCATATCCTGGAAGCAGGGCTAATTCTCAGGGTAGTGGGTGAAGGCTCCAGAGCTCTATGTTGTGTGGAATACTCATCTTGGAACCAGAGGCTTCGGTCCTTGTCATTCTGCCTTGAAGGGCAGATGAGGGCCGCCATGGCCTTCTTTACTACCACTTGAGAGCCATTTGGAGGGTCCTCGAGACTGGTAGCAGCTGCAAAGGGAGTCTCAGGAGAGGAGGCAGTTCTGAGCTGCAAAGATGCCACACACACTTGGCACGGCTCACAGGGTCAGGTCAGATTTAACCAGGTGCCAAGGGCCCAGAAGGGAAAGAAGGACGGATAAAATTTTGTCCTTCAGGGCCTCCCTGGCCAGCTTGGAGAACCCTCACCCATGGTCTTCCCTCCACTGGGGTTCATACAAATTAGAGTGCCTGTTTTTGTCAGGCATCAGTGGGCTTATTTTTTTATTCTTATTTTTTGCCTATGTTAGTCATCTCTGCGTTGATCTCACATCCAGCACAGAGCACTGCATAAAAATAACCACAAGTTGTTTATGGATGGCACCTTGCAGGGCTCTGCACTACCTCACCTGATTTCTGTGTGGTAAGTGTTCTTACTCTTATTTTGAATAGGAAAACATTTACTTATGAGTAACAGATAATCACCAGAGGCTCAGCCCAGCCTGTCTGGCTTCTCCACTCTTCATTCTTGCCTACCACTGTATGCTGTGTGCGCTCTCTCTCTCTCTCTCTCTCCCTCCATCCCTTCCTTTTTTCTTTTTCCTTCTTGTGTATGGGGTAGGTTTTGTGTACTGATGATTTTGGTTCAGGTAGATATTAAGCACCTGTGTGTGCTTGACATTGTGATGGAAACTGGAGGATGGATGTGTTATTAAATAATAAGACGCAGTCTCTATCCTTATTGCTGGCTGTATTAACAGCCTACAGTGTCAGAAAATAGACACACAAGAGACAAAGGAGACAAGGCAAGTGACATGTGCAGAAGAGTGTATAGCCACTGTACCCACAGTCGAGCAGGCATGGGGCGGCCCACTGGGTTTCTGTCCTATCCTGACACAAGATGTGCTGTTCCTCCTCTCCAGTAGGAGTCCATCTCACATTCTGTTTGTGATCATCGATCAGAGTGGTGGGTGATTTTTTTTTTTTGGGGGGGGGTCTGGTCGTGAGGCCTGAACTCTGGGCCTGGGTGCTGCTGTCCCTCAGCTCTTCAGCTCAAGGCTAGCGTTCTACCACTTGAGCCACAGCACCACTTCCAGCTTTTTTCTTTTTGCTTATGTGGTGCTGAGGAATAGAACCCAGAGCCTCATGCACTACCACTGAGCCACCTTTCCAGCCCTGGTGGGGTGATTTAAGGAAGCTAGAAAGAATATAGTGTTTGTTCTTTTAACCCTGTTGATAAGGACTCACACCTTTGACATGGCTGACAGTTACAGTTAGTTGAAAGTCAGGGAGCACACAATCTCAGGAGATACAAGCAATAGAAAAGTACAAAATGGTGACTGATAGAAAAGACTGCTTTCAGCCGGGTGCCGGTGGCTCACGCCTGTAATCCTAGCTCAGGAGGCTGAGATCTGAGGATCACAGTTCAAAGCCAGCCTGGGCAGGAAAGTCCGTGAGACTTACTTCCAATAAAAACCACTAGAAAACTGGAAGTGATGCTGTGGCTCAAGCAGTAGAGCGCTCGCCTTGAGCTGAATAGCACAGAGACAGCGCTCAAGCCCAGAGTTCAAGCCCCACAACCCACCAAAAAAAAAAGAAAAAAAGAAAAAAAAAAGGCTGCTTCTCTCTATGACCTAAATCTGAAGATGAATATAGGTATAAAAAAAACCGAAGAGTGGGTGGGGCTCAGTGTAGGATGGATTCCAGCAGCTTCAAGGACTCCTATTGGCTTATAAGGTTATGAGATTACTTAATATCTGTGTAGGCAAAGGCAAATTGTCGTGTTAGAGCCTGGGGCAGAGGACATGGTATCAAGAAAGCCCAGCTCACATCTATTCTCTTTGAGGGAGATCTCACCTTCCATGGAAGGAAACTTAATTAACAAAGAGCAAGTGGATTTCTGAGAGGAAGGATGGGAAGGAGACAGTTCCTGAGGCATCTGGGTTAGCAGAGGGGGTGTAGGTATCTTGGCCCTAAGGAAAAAAAATGTAGCCTGGCACTAGTGGCTTATACCTGGGATCCTAGCCACTCAAGAGGCTGAGATCTGAGGATCACGGTTCAAAGCCAGCCCGGCAGAAAAGTCCGTGAGACTCTTATCTCCAATTAACCACTAGAAAACTGGAAGTGGCGCTGTGGCTCAAGCGGTAGAGCTATCGCCTTGAGCTGAAGAGCGCAGGGACAATGCCTAAACCCAGAAGGCCAGAGTTCAAGCCTCACGACCGACCAAAAAAAAAAAAAAAGAAAGCAGAGATGGTCTGAAGTTGCCGCTGGTTCCTTCCTGAGATGTTCTCAAATCCTCACTCAGTGGTTCATCCTGATGGACCTCAAGGGGGAAGACGCAGAGCTCTGCCAGCAGGTGCAGCACTTTTTTTTTTTTTTCTGGGCCTGGGCCTTGAACTCTGGGCCTGGGCGCAGTCCCTCAGCTCCTTTTGCTAGATCACTTGAGCTATAGCTTTTTCTGTGATTAATTGGAGATAAGAGTTTCATGGACTTTCCTGCTTGGGCTGATTTTGTTTTTGTCTTTGTCGGTCATGGGGCCTGAACTCTGGGCCTGGGCACTGTCCCTCAGCTCTTCAGCTCAAGGCTAGCACTCTACTACTTGAGCCACAGTGCCACTTCCAGCTTTTTCTGCTTATGTGGTGCTGAGGAATCGAACCCAGGGCCTCATGAATGCAAGGCAAGCATTCTACCACAGAGCCACCGTCCCAGCCCCCTGGGCTGACTTTGAACCGTGATCATCACATCTTAGCCTCCTGACTAGCTAGGATTATAGGCATGAGCCACTGGCGCCCAGCTAGTTACCAAGTATTAAATTAATTTTGAAAACATTGAACAATGCACACACACACACACACGTATTTTATTGTGAAAGTTCCTTAATTTCCCTTTCTCTCCGCTCAGGTCCTTTCTCTTTATTCAGTAAAAGAATTTGTGGGAATATCTTTTCAGGTCACTGTTTTTGTCGCTCTGTGAATTTTCAAACACACAGGTGCAACCTCCCTCTTTTTAATAACAGCGGGATCCCAGATATGCTTTGCTGACCCCTGACTTTTCCAGTCATGGGGTGTCAGCCCAGAGAAAGTCTTTCAGGCTATAGAGGAGGAAATAAAGGCAGACAGTGAAGTATGCAGCCCATGGCACACTTCGAATAGCAACGCTGGTTTCTGAAGCAAGAATGAATTCTGCAAGCTGTTGCAGAGCATTCTCCAGGTACTAGAGAAAATAACCACATGAAGCTAGACACCAGCTGCTCTCGTCTGTGATCCTAGCTACTCAGGAAGCTGAGATCTAAGGATCATGGCTCAAAGCCAGCCTTGACAAAGTCTGCGAGACTCTCAACTCCAATTAACTATTAAAAAGCTGGAAGTGGAGCTGTGGTGCAAGCGGTAGAGTGTACCTTGAGCAAAAAAGCTCAGGGACAGAGCCTAGGCCCCAAGTTCAAGTCCCAGGACTGACATAAAAAGTGAAGAACCATACAAAGGAGACCATAAAGAGGTGAGGGCTAGTAATATGTACCTTTTTGGGGAGGGGTTGCTGGCACTGAGGGCTTGAACTCAGGCCATGATTTCACTGGCTTTTTTGCTTAAGCTGGCATGCTCAGCTTTTGGTGGTTAATTGGAGATAATAGTCTCATCCATTTGTCTGCTTGGGTTGGCTTTGAATCCACATCCTCAAGTCTCAGCCTCCTGAGAGTAGCTAGGATGACAGGCAAGTGCCCCTGGTCCCCACACAAAGGCAGTTTCTAAGCAGCTCTGGAGAGAATCTTGCCAGTGCCAGCCGACTCAGCTGTGACCCTTGAGGCAGAAGTGGGGAACTTCCTTCCTGTCAGGAGGTAGGAGAGAAAACCCTCTTTCCTGGAGGTCTCTGGGAAGCCAGCACTCTTGTCTTTCTGGATCAGGCTGCGCTCCTGGCGAGGATTTCTTGAATTCGCAGTGAACGTAGACCAGGCAACTTAAACTCCACAGCTAGAACCCATGGAGCGGAATGCCCTGGTTCCCAAGGTTTCTTCTAGAGAGGTTCAAAGACCTCTGTCACCAGCCCCTGCGGCCCGCGCCGCTCGTGCATGCGTTGCGGCCAGCCGGGTGGGGAAAGGTGACTGGGAAGGGCCACACCCAGGTAGGCGTGTTCCCGAAAAACGAACCGAGCGTGGAGAAACCCAGCGAAACACTGGGAGCAGTGATGACCCGGTGGAGCCCGCGCTCCGGAGTCTCCGAGTCCCGACTGTACAGTTCCCGGTGTTCTGATAGTCGGGCTTGGCTTGAGAGGGGGTGCCGGTGGGGAGCAGTCGCAGACCCGGAGGATACCGGTCACCCTCGGAGGGCAAAAGAGAACGAGCAGTTTACAACCACGGCAGTTTCCCACGGAAAGATAACAGTAACAAAGCGGTTTGCAACCGCGAGGATTCCCAGTGCGGAGCGGTGCCCACGGTCGGCCAAGCTCCTGCACAGACGTGCGCGCAGAGGGCCGCTCCGGGCGGGCACCCGGGACGGGCCCCGGCCTCCCAGTACCCGCAGGGGCTGGCACGCAGGGGCGCGCTGCAGACACTCAACCACCCGGCCTGCACGCGCGCATCAGGCTCGGACGCTTCCGCGCTCACAGAGGCCTCGAGAGCCAGACCTAGGGTGACCCGGAGGGCTCCCCGGGCGGCCACTACCGGCAGCCCGCATCCCAGCACCCGGACAGCCGGCAGCGCCCCGCTTTCACCGCGCC